TTCGTGCAAATCGAAATATACATAGGGACTTTGGTACACAAGTTACCTTAAATCGGGCGAAAATATATATGGGAGCTATATCTAAATCTGAACCGATTTTTCCCAATTTCAATAGGGTTCGTCCTTGGGCCAAACAAGTGAGCTGTGCCAAATTTCATCCATTTCGGATCATAAATGCGACCTGTACTTTGTTTACAATTTAACACCAACAGACGGACAGACGGACGAACGGACATGCATAAATCGACTCAGAAAGTGATTCAATGCATATGCCCAAAAGGATCCATGGGTCTATCTCGATTGCATGTTACAAACATATGCACAAAGATATAATACTCTGTACCACAGTGTGGTGAAGGATACAAATCAAATTTTTGAGTTCAGTTGCCCACAATCTAGAGCCGCTGTAAGTTTTGTCCCACAATTCGAAATAAATAATTACAGCTCTATTCGGGTTAAAAATATTGAAAATTATTTTTTAAAAATCAGCACCATATAGTGGATCTTGATTTTTTTGTGTTTTAATGTTTTGTTAAATCCAGGCCTCTAGGCCATTGGAAAAATATTTTAAAAAATCTACACCTGTATTTGATAATTTAAAAACTATTATTAAAAATTCCATGCCTTAGATAGGCGGACATTGAAAAATATTTTTAAAAATTCCACGCCTTAGATAGACGGACATTGAAAAAATATTTTTAAAAATTCCACGCCTTTAGATGGATATTGACAAATAGTTTTAAATCCACGCCTATAATACCTAAATATATTTGTAAAAATCCTCGTGCTTTAAAAAAAATTCTTTTACAATTTTAAACTATTGTTCTCAGAGTTCTTTTTTAGTTTTACTGTCATCTAAACACTTTTACTGACATCTAAACAACCATTACACCCATTATGTTACATGTATGAAAATGTCATCTGACATTTATATGTCAATGGTAATTCCATCTTCTCATTGGGCACAAGGCAAAACGCAATCATCAGCTTGGGATCAAAAACTTTTGTCCCTTTAATAATAATCGGAAAAAAAACTTTTCTCGGCATCATATCACAAAAAGTTTGACCCTTTTTCCGGCTCAAATAGATTTTTTCCTTACACACAAATAAAGTTTATCATTATGATGATCATTATTATTGATTTCTGCATGAGGGATCAAATACATGCACATGAAATGTGACACATCACATACACATACATTTGTGGTTGACCGCAAAAGAGTGTAGCGTAGCAACACATGCAAATATTTCCCTTTTTTACGAATATACCTATATATTCCGGCTTACATATCTACATCAAGGAAATCAGCGTCAATTTTTTGATGGCAAAAAAACTGAAGTAAAGTCCCGCCCCACTTTTTGTGCCTTTTTTTCTCCCATAAGTAAACAAAAATATGGGTTTTCATTTTTCATATCACGGATTTGGCATACATTTCCATTTTCCAGTGGGAGGCAATCCCTTATACAAACAAAAGCGAAGAGAAATCATACTACTGACGTACTATTGTTCAAATTTTCGCCAAATTGAAAATCAATTTTTTCCTCTCCCTTGATTTTTTTTCTGCTCTCAGTTCCTGTTTATTCGAAACTTCGTAACTTAATAACACACACACATAGAGAGAGTGTAACAAATGGAGAACATTTCATTTCCTCTTTTTCTTTGTTTACTGGACAAAAAAAAAAAAAAGCCAAATAGGAAAAAAGGAAACAAAGAACGAATGAAACTATCTGTGCGTGGATGATAGTTCCCTCAATGACGTTTGCTTTCAACAAATCTAAAATCCTTTTTGTGTTTTGTGTGCGATAGTAAAAACAAAAGCTACTTAACGGAATTGTGTAAACCACACACAAGCAGCACATACATACACACATTGACATACATATGAGGAAATGAAAGATATAGACATGTATGGAAACAGTCTAGGTTAGTAGTATTGGGAAGAAAATATCTTTTAAGGATAAGCTTGGAAGAGTTGATTTTTTAAAAAAAGTAATGTCCTAATTGGAACCTTAATGTTTTAAAAATCCTTTTCCAGAACAAGTTTTATATGCGATATGATTTTTAAATATTATTTCAAGGACATGCCGTCAGCTTGGATTTTACATAATTATATTTTGCAAAAATCCATGAATGATTTCTTTCAAAAATATATTCCTAAGGACCAGTTGGAAGCGGTGATGAAGCTCACTTTTTTTGTAAATATGTTTTAAGGACCCATTATATGTATGGATTTTTGAAACATATTTATTGAATTACCGCTTCGGAGAATTGAGTTTTTTTTTTTTACAAATTATTATTTAATTATTTTTCAAGGTCGAATTATAGGAGTCGATTTTTTAAAAATATCTATTCAAGAACCTCTTCGAATTGTAGTTTTTTTTAACATATTTTCCTGGGTACATTTTTTCAAAATGTGTATTCAAAGTCCAGTTATACGTGTGGATTTTCCAATTATATTTTTCAGGTCAAATTGTTTGCACGAACTTTTATTTTTTTTTCTTCTGTAGTCGTGAATTTTTTGAAAACATTCTTTTAATGTCCAAAAGTAGGCGTGAATCTCTTCAATGCTTGGATTTTTTAAAAATATTTTTTTTTTCAACGCCCAATTACGTACCTTTGTAGCAGGCCCAAGAGTTCGTAATGCCACGAGATATTGATCCTAGATCCACCTTTATGTGTATTTGTAAACACGATATAGGCCACAGTTATGGACCAATCTTCACGAAATTTTGCATGTAGGGGATGAAATGGACCAAATACTTAATTTTTGTAGGTTTTTCTGGTCGCTCCAGAGGCCGCAATTATGGTCCCACATTCCGAATTTTTGCATGGAGAAGGGGATCGGGCCAAAGATTAAGCATGTCTGTTTTAATAAAGATCGGTCAATATTTAGCGGGTCAAATGGACCTCGACTTTCGTGTGAAAAATGACAAAATTTGTATTCTAAAGCGTATATATACCCCTGAAGGCCATAGATCCGAGAATTGATAGTACATCCAAGACGACAGGTGCTTACGTATTAATAGTAACCTATTACCACACTGGAGGACGGAAATATAGCTCTGATCGCTTTGAAATGTTCCATGAGGTTCAAGTTATGGTCAAGGACAACGCCTATAATTTTCGGTGATGATCTGATAATAATTCTTGGATAAAGTGCACCAAAAAACATAATTGTTTTTGTTTTTTTCGAGTCGATCTATAGGAAACAATTATAAGTCGAACATCACAATACAACCCACAGTGAAGGGAATATGGATAACTAATTACAAAGACTGTACTGAATATTAGTAGTATTCGGAACATATGTCAGTGTAGGGAAGATGTGCTGTTGACCTCTAGTCGGGCAAGAGGGTGCAACTATCACGAAATATTGCCCATGCTCGGAACTAAAAATCAGCAGAAAGTTAGATTTCCGTGGTAGTTGTGTAGGGTATCGTATGGTCGGGCCGTCCGACAATACTGATCCGATGATTGGTTTAAAAAAGTTGTTATTGTTCAATTACATACGCAGATTTTTTTTAATATTTTTGAGTGCGCAATTATTATAGACGTGGGTAAAAAAAAAAAAAACACAATAACATTTATTTTAAAAATAGTTCAAACATTGAAAAAAACATTTTGAAAAAATCTAATTTTTGGTCCCTAGAAAAAATTCTTATTTTTTTAAGTCCATGTCTGTATATATATTATAAACAGAATCAGGCCTGTTGTCATTTGTTTCCTTTCACTAGTTATGAAAAGAAAATTGGCCCAAAAAATTACATAGCATAGTAGGAAGAAGTGAATGTTTCCCTATTCCCCCTTTGCGGACGGAAAAACTCTCTTACATATTTGGAAAAGTCAAGGATAAAAAGATTCGAAGACAAGTCGATTGTTCTGTTATGATGCTACAAACTAGAAAAAGAGAAAAGAACTCAGCACACAATACCAGTTGACATACAGAGACAAAAGCATCATCACCAAGATGGACCAGCTAACCCACTGGCATGGCCACCACCTTCACCTTATGCCCAATACAGAAGATTATTGTCATCAGCAACATTGATTAAACATAACAAAGAACGTGTTGATGGTAACCACTTTTCTTTGGGATTTTTTTTTCGATGAAAAACCGAGGCGACGCAGCAAGTGGACCCAACACTAGTCGAAAAAGCGACATGTTGGGATTGTAGCTTCGATGAAGTGAAATCCATACACACGAAACACAGACTCTTCTAAAATAACAACATTTGTTAAGACAAGGCATTTAAGGAAAAAAAATACCCAAGAGTAACACGAACACTGGTAAATGGTTATTGTTTGACGTTGGCATATACATAGATTTACTTCGGACTCACACCAAACACATAACCAAAAAGAGAGTAGATTCGTAAGCAAGCACCATGTTGCGGATGATGATGATGACTTCAACACATCCCAAATCAAACAAAAAAGAATTTCCCAACAGAAGCAGCAAAACCCTTTGGCAGGAAACGTGAGTCGTCGCCTTTGTATGGATATCAATGTTTTGCAGGATGTAAGAACGAGCCATGCAGTCGCATGGCTGGCCATACCACATGAAGATCACAGAGGGCCAGAATATAGTAGTAGTTGTGATGGTGATGGTGGTAGTGCTCAATTGGAAACAATGGTTATCGACTTTCATAGAAAATTGAAATAAATGAGTCTTTGATTAGATTTGACGCCATTCATTTGCTTGTTGGGATTCTATTGTCTTTTGTTTCCCCAGTTGCTTTTGTTTATGGCTCCGGGTTTTTTGTCTGATATTCTTTTTCCTTTTGTATTTTGTGAAACAAAACATAAAAATGTTCTTGTCATTGTGACATTTTAACATGGCTAACATTTGGTGTTCTCTCTGACTGGGCTGCAACACACAAAACGCCGGACATATTACATTGCTTATAATAATCCCCTCCCTCTGGCCCCAATAACATTCTTGTATGCCAGGATTTGTAACATATCTAATATCGACTTTATTTCTCTCTTTCCATTCAAGGTCTTTTGCGGTTGCAACAAATCTACCAGGGCTTAAAGCCCGGAAATGAATCATTTCAAGTTGAGATGGTTAAGCGCATTGCCAATGTTACCATGGCCATTGACTTCCTGCACACACTGGAGGAATTGAGTCGTTTCACCAACAAATACATTGTGCTCGATTGTCCAACGGAAATGGCCAAAGAGATTCTAATCCAACATGTACGGGACATATCGTTGGGTCGCCGCACATATCACTATTTGCTCAGTGGTTTGGTAAGTAGAAAAAAAAACACACACACAAAACCATACTGACATTCGAATACCAGCTGACATGTGGTAAAATAAACAAGTATTATTTAGCAGATACCCCCTCCCTTCCCACCTCTGTCCACTATATACCTTTTTGACCTCTCGAATGCATTTCACCATTTTATGTACACCATTTTATCATTTTGTGTGGGTATGTAACTGTGTGGATATGAAATAAACACATTTTCACATAAAATCTAAACATCCTCAGGAAAACGGATATTAACAAATAAGGCCATTTTTCTGCCAGCAAATAAACAAAAACGGGCAAACACAAACATATCATACATCATATTTTAAGGACCAGCCATAGGCGAGAAAGTTTTAAAATATATTTTCGATCATCAGCCCTAGTCGAGAATTAAAAGAAAAACATGTTTCAAAGTCCAGGCATATTTTTCAAGTTTGAAACAATGATTTCTGAAATAGTTTTCAAATTTCTAATTGATTTTTTACCCTACACAACTATGTTGTAACGCCGCGAAATATTGGTCCTAGACCCACTTTTAAGTATACCGATTGTCATATCTCGACTACCTGAGTCAATCTAGACATGTGTGTCCGTCCGTCCGTCTGTCCATTATAATTTGTAAACATGATACAGGCCACAGTTATGGACCAATCTTCACGAAATTTTCCATGCAGGATGGGTTCTGGCCAATGAAGACCCCCAATATTTTTGGATCGGTTACTATTAAGGGGATGAAATGGTCCAAAAACTTTATTTTTGTCTGATTTTCTGGTCGCTCCGGAGGCCGCAATTATGGTCCAAAGAAAGCGAATTTTTACATGGAGAAGGGAATCGGTCAACATTTAGCGGGTCAAATGGACCCTGACTTTTGTGTGAAAAATGACACACAAAATGTCTATGTCAATCTGGCGTATATATCGGCCGCAGAAAGTTAAAGTTCCGTTTTAGTTCGTAGGGTATCGTATGATCGGCCCCGTCAGACTATACTGCACCGCTCACTGCTTTAGAAATGTTTTTCCAGCTCGGAATTTGTATAAATATATTTTCAATGTTCATGCGTGGATTTTTATACCCTACACAACTATGTTGTAAGGGCATTATAGCTTTGTGCAGCCCCAAAAGTTTATAACGCCGCGAAATATTGGTCATAGACCCACCTTTAAGTATACCGATCGCCATATCTCGACTAGCTGAGTCGATCTACACATGTGTGTTCATGAAATTTTGCATGAATAATGGGTTCTGGCCAATGAAGACCCCTATTGTTTTTGGGAAAGATCGGTTAATATTTAGGGGAAATGGACCACATACTAAATTTTTGTCGGTTTTTCTGGTCGCTCCAGAGGCCGCAATAATGGCCCGAACATCGTGAAATTATCCATGGAGAAGGGGATCAGGTCAGAATAAGCATGCCTGTTTTCATAAAGATCGGTCAATATTTGGCAGGTCAAATGGACCCTGACTTTTGTGTGAAAAATGACCAAATTTGTATTCTATAGCGTATATATTTACACCTGAAGGACATAGACCCGAGAAGTTAATAATATATCCAAGAGGAGTGGTTGACCTTTAAATTAATACCAATTATATTGTTGTATGTGCTCGGATGTGGGAGTTACACCTAAATATTTACAGGTATCTCCGTATTCGTATATTTTTTATTAACCCATTATCACTCTGATCGCTTTGAAATGTTCCATGAGGTTCCAGTTATGGTCAAGGACAACGCCTATAATTTTCGGTGATGATCAGATAATAATTTTGGAATGAAGTGGACCGAAAACATAAATTTGTGTGTTATTTTCTAGTCGATCTATAGACCCTAAATGAAAGCCGAACATCACAACACAACCCACGGTGAAGAGAATCTGGACAATAGCTGTACTGAATACTCGTAATATTCGGAAAATATGTCAGTGTGATGAAGATGTGCTGTTTACCTCTAATCGGGCAAGAGTGTGCAAATGTCACGAAATATTGCCCAGGCTCGGAATACACATCCGCAGAAAATTTGAGTTCCGTGGTAGTTGTGCAGGGTATCGTATGGTCGGCTCCGTCCGACTATACTGCTCCGCTCACTGGTTTAAAAATATTTTTAGGCAGCATTTTTAAAGACCAGCTATAGGCGAGATTTTTTTAATATTTTTTGAGGACTAGCAATAGGTGTGGAACTTCTTAAAAATAGTTTTAAGCAGCATTTTTAAAGACCATCTAAAGGCTAGATTTTTTTATATTTTTTGAGAATTAGGAATAGTTTTAAGGACCACCCAAAGGCGTGGATTTTTTAAAATATTTTTAAGGACAGACCCTGGTTGTGGATTTTTTTTATATTTTTTAATGACCAGTCAAAGGGTGTAGAATGATCCACAACTAAGGATTTCTTAAAAATTATTTTAAGGGCCTGAATTTGTTGAAAATATTTCTTTTTTAATTCCAAATATATTTATTAACAATGCGGAGATTTATTTTTATTTTATTTTTTTGGAAAAATCTTGGTTTTTAATTTTTGTCGACTTTTTATTTCATATTCCTCAATTTCACGACAATTATGACACACTTCAGATTAAAAAAAATCACAATCTTATAAACTGGTTACTACTTCCTGTTTTCTTCCCTTTATCCTTTTTCCAATATCCCACTAAAAATTCCCTCCCTTTTTTTGTATGAACATGTCTATGTCAAACACTTGAAAAATCTCTTATTTATGCTGTCACATTTTTGTCATGTTTCGTGTTTCTCTTTTTCCCCCGTTGTTATTGTTGCTGCTGTCTGTCTCTGTGTTTGGTGATTCACTTTTGATTTAGGTAATGGATGATCGCTGGGAAAGTGAAATAATTGAATTCGGTGCCATCAACATAACTGGCTTCCGTTTGGTCGATACAAATCGCCGTTTGGTCAAGGATTTCTATGATAGCTGGAAACGATTGGATCCGACAGTGTCAACTGGAGCCGGCAGAGATTCAATATCGGTAAGTTTCTAATTGACAATTGAGATTTCGAGGAATTGAATCTAAGTTATTGTGGTTGCCAATGTGAACAAAGCCAACAAATGTCAAAAATATTTTTGGGGTGATGAGGACGACAAGTATCCTTGTCAGCGTAAAGTAGGATGAACAACAATAGCCACATCATCATCATCAACGAAAGACAATAAAAAACAACAACCATGTTGATAATAATGTTGATGGTGATTGGCACGGCCGTCCTTTCTTTAGCTGGGATTTTTTGTTATGACATGAAATGGATATTAGATTGTTTACAAAAATAACTCATTAAATATTTACATAACACCCAGTAGCTTTTTGTTGCGTGCCTTTGTCGTCTCCTCCTTCACCCCTTTTTCCCTGCGCACAGCTAATGGCCGCTATTGGCGTATAATCATCATTAAACATGCTTGTTCAAGCGAATATTGTATTAACGTTCTTATTTTGTTTACTCTAGGCCCAGGCAGCCCTTATGTACGATGCGGTGTTTGTTTTGGTGGAGGCCTTTAATAAAATCTTACGCAAAAAACCCGATCAATTTCGAAACAATATCCGTCGCGGCCAGACAGTTATGACGGCAGCTTCCACATCTGCTAATGCTTCAGGCTTGTCAAATTCTGGCGGTCTTATGGCTGGCTCACAGAATGGTGGAGGTGGCGGTGGAATGGGCGGCGGAGGTAGTGGTGGTGGCGGCAGTGCTTCACGTCCATTGGACTGTAACACTGGCAAGGGTTGGGTTACCCCCTGGGAGCATGGTGATAAAATTTCACGCTATTTGAGAAAGGTAAGTAAGAGCAAAAACAACAACAACACTAATAATGCTGTGTGAGTGTGAACACACCTGAAGGGGTAGATTGTTGAAGTGGAGTGGTGGAGAGGAAAAACCCAACCGGTGGACAATTTTTCTATGAATAATTTTACGAACATTATGTAAATGAGAAAACTCCACTTTACATCAGCAGAAGCGAAACATGGAGTGGAATTTAATAGCTCGCATTGTCTTTCAAAATTATTAAAAATGCTATAAAATAGAAGTGTAGAATTCATGCAATATATTTTTTCGAGGTCCTCCGACGGTGGTGTATTTTTTAAAAATATTTTTTCAAGGTCCTTCAATTGAAGTACCTTTTGAAGTACTTTGAAAAAATATATTTAAAATATCCACGCCGATTGGAGGACCTTGAAAAAATATTTTTGAAAAACCCACGCCTATTGGAGAACCTAGAAGGCCTTTGAAAAAAATATTTTTGAAAAACCCACGCCTATTGGAGAACCTAGAAGGCCTTTGAAATTTTTTTTGAAAAACCCACGCCTACTGCAGAACCTAGATGGCCTTTGAATTTTTTTTTTTTTTTTTGAAAAAATATTTTTGAAAAACCCAAGCCTATTGGAGGACCTAGAAGGCCTTTGAAATTTTTTTTGAAAAACCCACGCCTACTGCAGAACCTAGATGGCCTTTGAATTTTTTTTTTAACCCACGCCTATTGGATAACCTAGAAGGCCTTTGAAAAACCCACGCCTATTAGTGAACCTTTCCATCGGTGTAGTTTTCTTTGAAAAATCATCTTATGTACAACTCTCACATTTTTACATTTAAAGTTTTCCTTTCAAGAATATCTTTAAAAAATGATTTTAAACCGATCACACCAAAAAGAAACGTGCCAAGAAAATATAAGTAGAGAATAAAACATTCGCCTGTATAAGACAGCTATTTTAAATATCCATGGCATAATTATGTCTCACAGGACTCGATGAAATGAAATTGTCTGGAAGGCTCAATAAAAATTAATTGATGTGTCATTTACCGTTTACTTAATTCCCAGTATGTTTTTTTTGTCCTCGGTATCCTTTCATTTATTGCAGCTTCCTGAATGTCCTGTGTGAATGCTATCACACCGACATATTATAACAACTCCCACATATATAAATATACCACCCAGTACTCACTCACAGCTTAAGGAGTCAAGTCATAGATGTGTTGGTTTTTTTGTTCGTTGGTCTTCTCTTGTCGGTATAGCTTCCAATCAATTTGCTGCTTCTGCTTCATTACAGGTGGAAATTGAAGGTCTGACCGGTGACATAAAATTCAACGATGATGGGAGACGTGTTAACTATACCCTGCATGTCGTCGAAATGACCGTTAACAGTGCCATGGTCAAGGTGGCCGAATGGAGTGATGAGGCTGGCCTCCAACCACTGTCGGCAAAATATGTACGCCTGAAGCCCCATGCCGAAATAGAGAAAAATCGTACTTACATTGTGACGACAGTACTGGAAGAGCCCTACATAATGGAGAAGCGACCCATTGGTGGTGAGACCTTGGTGGGCAATGATCGCTTTGAAGGCTATTGTAAAGACTTGGCTGATTTGTTGGCCAAAAGGCTTGGCATTAATTGTAAGTACAAAGCGTTTAATTTATAATAAGTATATCGTACCCCATGACTCCCAGTGAGGGTGATGGCCAGTGTACAGATCTGGCACGTGACTCATGTGGTCACGTGGTCGCCCATTCCTAGGTAGAGTTTTTGTTGTTAATGGTATTTAATTTAAACATCCATCATTAACACTTGTCCATTTCTACGAATTCTTTTTCATACATTATCCTGGTCGTCATCATTTCCCTGTTGTTGCTGTTCCTGCAGATGAAATGCGTTTGGTTAAGGATAATTTATATGGTTCAGAAAATCCCAAAATCCAAGGTGGTTGGGATGGCATGGTGGGCGAACTGGTGCGAAGGGTAAGTGAGCTTTTATTTATTTTTACACTTTTTTGTAGCTGGTATCAGGACCAGCTTTACACTTCTTTTTTTCCCTCTGAACAATTTTTTTGTTTCGCTTTTATTTTTTTGTATTAAAACATTACAGTTTTTCACACATTTACATGTCCTTTTTTCCCCTCTATTTTTGTTCGTCTGTGTGTATTTATAACAGGAAGCGGATATTGCCATCGCTGCCATGACAATTACTGCCGAACGTGAACGTGTCATTGATTTCAGCAAACCATTTATGTCGCTGGGCATCTCAATTATGATTAAAAAACCAGTCAAACAAACACCGGGCGTATTCAGTTTTATGAATCCTTTGTCGCAGGAAATCTGGGTGGAGTTGGCAGTTCATTTTAGATTTATATATATATATATATATATATATTAAGCGTTTTGTTTTCAAGTAGAGTTTTTTATTTAAGGGATAAAATATATTCCAATAATTTATTTTTTCTTTTTTTCATTTTTCGATAACAATCATGAGAATTTTATATCAATAGCAATTAATATTGCAAAATATTTGCCATTAATTAAAAGCGGATTTTAATAATTAGAAAATATTAGTTGGAAAATGTTATTAATTAGGGTAAGGACTAAAAAAATATTTGTTTTTGAGAGCAATAGTGTTTTCCGATTTGACAAAAGTGGAATTTTTACAATAAAATAAACAAAAATTATAGTAGGATATATTCATATAAGATAAAACGGTTGAATTGATTTTAGAAAACTAAAAAAGAACGAGTAAATTTAATTAAACTATAAAAAAGATGTCAGCCGGTGCTGCCAACAGATTTATACTCTCAGTCTGTGACATATCTGGCATTCACTATATAACCGATCATGCCCGCCATCAAAAATAAGAACTTTTCTTTGATCACAAAAAACAACAGCAAACATTTTTTGTAAAATATTTTTCTTCGTTTTTAAATCTTCATATATATATTTGCAAAGTTCATGCTGTTGTTCTGCATGTTCATGGGTATTTTCGTGCCTTTGAAATGGAAATCTGTCCTTACCATAGCACGTGTTTTAAGTTTCGAAAAAATCGGGTTAAATTTAGATTTAAGATCGTTCAATTTGCATGTCTATGTTCTATCGAAAATGCGACGTCTTTTAGGATACATATGTAGAATATACCCAAAGTAAGAAGTGTATCATATAGTCGGCCCAGTCCGACTTTACGAATTTCCTTGCTGGTTTACATGTTGTCAAAATGTTAACACTTCATGTTAGATGTACTAGAAGGAGTGAACATTAATTCTTAAAGGATAGTAAGTGATGCCCTTTTTTGCAAAATCATTTTTATGCTTCACAAAAACTAAACAAATTCCACATACTTCAAATAGCAAACAAAACTATTCCCCCCGTTTTTTTTATTCGGATAATTTACAAATCGTAGACTTTGACTCAACAGAATCTTTAAAAATCTTACCAACTTTCATATATTGTAAAATAAATGGAGGGTTTCCATGAAGCACTTGTCTATTGTTTCGTTTTTTTTTTTTTTCATTTCTGTCCCCATTTTTATGTGATTACAGAAAAAACAACAAAATTCTTTCCAGACATATATCAGCAGCTAGAATTTTGTTTTGTTATCAAAATTACACTCTCACTCCCCTGGTGACTATTAAACGTTTTAAAGATATTTTTTCTTCTTTGCTTTTTTGCCAATTACCTAACGTAATAATGAAATGGTGGGGTGGTTCTCAAATATTTTTTTATTCAATTTGAATTTTGTTAGTTATTCTTTTGTGGAAATACAACAACAACGAAATCATTGTTGTAGAATTTACTCATAAAATGAAATGAAATCTTGGCCTAAAAAAGCATACGATTAAAGGCGTAGAGGGGGTGGGTTGGTTTATGATGAAATTCTCAAACATGGTAAAATATCGAATGAATCAAGTAATTGTCCTCGTCCATCGTAGATTTCGTCTTCCTTTTCTTTTTTTCTGGGTATTAATGGCAACCATTTCGACGTTTTCTTACGGTTGGCTCTCGCTTTAAATTGTTAATTCTTTGAAGCAAAAGTTGAGCAGAAGTAGCAACAACAACTTCTGTACTGTTTACTATATTGAAGTTTATAAGCTCTCCATTTTTTTTTTTTTCAGAACCAATATTATTTTTCTGTTTTGTGTTTCTTTGTCGTCTTACTTTCGCAGCTTGGCAACTACAAGAATAAAACATTGCCCACAAAAGATTATAAAAGTTCATGCGTTGTGCGTCCGGCAATACGCCAACAAGAACAGCAACAACCACTGAAAAGCGCAAACATAAACTTTATTGAAGTAAATTGTAAAGTTTTCTCATTTGTATTCCAAAGCGGATTGTTGCAACATTGCGAACAGCAGCTGTATGATGTTGTAGTTGCAACAACAGTCTCTAAAGTAAATACAGCGTCAAGAGAATACTGATCTATACTTCAATAAGTGGTCTTTAGAAATTGCTTGCACCATAAGTAATATGAAATTTAGTTTTTATTAAGTTTTTATTTTGAATGCAATATTCGTGTATTTGTAAATATTATTTTAAAGAGCCACAAGGTATATTTTTTCAAGGACCACTGCAAAGCACGATGGCCAATACCAATACAAGGCGTGGATTTAAATAATATTTGTTAAGGGGCAATTAAGTGTCCCCCCATTATCGATTTTAATTTTTCAAGATTTTCAATGGGCTGGTAAATCAATATCAATGCTTGTTAATACCAATTAATCGGCTATATCTTCAAGAGTTCTCGAGATTTTCTCTTGAAATTTTGTAGGGACATTCTTGAATTAGTGTAGATTCGAATTAAATAAAAAAAAAATCTGACCCCGAGAATGGGGGTCCCCTTAAGGACTGGATTTTTTAACGAATATTTAAAGAACCAATACAAGGCGTGGAATTGCTAAGGAAAAATACAGTGTCTGGATTTGTAAACAAATACTTTTCAAGGGCCAATACGAGGCGTGGATTTTTAAAAAATATTTTTTTTAAAAACAAGGCTGGATTTAAGGACGAACATAAGACGGAGTTTATTTTAAATATGTTTCAAAGACCAACACATGACGTAGCTTTAAAATTTTTGAAGGACCAACATAGGGAACGTTTTAAGGTCCCTTACAGAACGTGGATATTGTGCATATGTTTGTAACAGGCAAAAGGAAACGAGATAGACACATGGTTCCTTTTATGAATATGCATAGAATCACTTCCTAAGTTGATTTATGCATGTCCGTCCGTCTGTCTGTCCATGTTAAATTGTAAACAAATCACAGGTCACATTTATGATTCGAATTGGATGAAATTTGGCACAGCTCATTTATTTGGCCCAAGGACGAACCCCATTGATTTAGTTCAGATTTACATATAGCTCCCATATTTAATTTCGTCCGATTTAAGGTACATGGTGCACTAAAGTCCCTAAATATCTTTCGATGTGAACGAAATTTGGTACAAGGTAGTGAATTAAGCCTAAAATGATATCTGCTAAGTTTCGTAAAAATCGGTTCAGATTTAGATATAGCTCCCATATATATTTTCGTCCGATTTAGGGCAAATGGCGCACTAAAGATCCCAAATATCTTTCGATTTGCACGAAATTTGGCAAAACGTACTGAATTAAGCCTAAAATGTTGTGTGTTTTCGTCCGATTTAAGGTAAATGGTGCACTAAAGATCCTAAATATCTTTCGATTTCCACGAAATTTGGCACAGCGTACTGAATTAAGCCTAAAATGAAGTGTGCTAAGTTTCGGTTCAGATTTGGATATAGCTGCCATATATACTTTCGACCGGTTTAAGGTAAATAGTGCACCAATGTCCCTATACATTTATAATTTGCACGAAATTTGGCACAGTGTACTGAATTAAGCCCAGAATGTTGTGTGTTAAGTTTCGTAAAAAATCGGTTCAGATTTAGATATAGCTCCCATATACATTTTCGTCCGATTTAAGGTAAATGGTGCACTAAGGATCCTAAATATCTTTCGATTTGCACAAAATTTGGCACAGCGTACTGAATTAAGCCTAAAATGCTGTGTGCTAAGTTTCGTGAAAATCGGTTGAGATTTCGATTTAGCTCCCATATATAATCTCGTCCGATTTAAGGTAAATGGTGCACTAAAGTCCCTAAATATCTTTCGATTTCCACGGAATTTTGGCGCAGTTTACTGAATAAAGCCTAAAAGGATGTGTGCTATGTTTTGGTTCAGGTATAGATATAGCTCCCATATATATATATATATATATATATATATATATAATAGTGCACCAAAGTCCCTACACATTTATGATTTGCACGAAATTTGGCATAGCGCACTGAAGTTAGTCTAGAATGATAGTGATGTTTGTTAAATTTCGTGAAATCGATTCAGATTTTAATATAGTTCCCATATATATTTTCGTCCGATTTAAAATAAATGGTGTTTCATAGTCTCTATATATCCTTCGATTTGCTCGAAATATGGCATACTGAATTAAGTCTAGAATGACGTGTGTTGAATTTCATGAAAATCAGATTCAGATTTTGATATAGCTCCCATATTTTACATATTTAAGTTCGTTCAATTTCATGTAAAATATGCCCAAAGTGGTGAAGGGTATAATATAGTCGGCCCCGTCCGACTTTACAACTTTCCTTACGGGTTTAAAATGGTTTTTCAAATGCTGCGCATTGATATTTGAGAATGATTTTTTTTTCTACAAGGACCCTTATAGACACTGAAATGTTGTGTCGATATACCAGGGATTAGAGGTTTAAACACAATAATTTATTAAAGAAAAATAATTAAATTTTAAGCGCTGCTTTTATATATTATTCTACAGGGTCATATTTTTCATTAATGCCACCCTTTCTCATCCATTCATTAAAATTGTTGTTCATTACCACTTAACGTTTAATTTATAACTACAAACATTAATTTCACGTGCTAACTCATTTTCTGTCAACGCCTCACAGGGATTACAACAACGAAAACGTAATTGCGAAAATGTTACTTTTTTATAACAAAATAATTATAAAACGATGCATTAAATTAGAATTTAAATAAAAATTCATTACACGGCAGGTCGTAATACGTTTGCCCTGTTAACTTCTGCTTTGTATGGGCTTATACCCCAGCAATATAAAAAATATACTCATTATTAAAGCAACAAATCACGGAAACGGATATGAGATAACAACAACAAGATGCTCATGAAATACGTAATAACGGGAAGAAGGTCGTTGTCAGCCATCATCCAACAAATTTTGCTGCTGTTTAAATACCCTTCCTTGAAATGAATTTTCATACTAATTAAGGTTTACCTGTTTATAAGTGAGTTTGTATGAACTCTGCTACACATACATGTG